GGACTAGTATCTGTGTAGCCTGTTCGGTGAGGTAGGGTCTGATTTTCTTGATGTTGTACAGGATGAACCTACAGGACCGTGCAGTTGTTGAGATGTGGTCTGTAAAGGTCAAGCTGTCATCGAGAATCACCCCAAGGTTCCTGGCCATCCTGGTTGGCTTGAGTGTGGTCGAGCCGAGCTGTACAGTGAGGTTGTGGTTGATTGAGGGACAGGCTGGGATGATGAGAAGCTCAGATTTTGTCAGGTTGAGCTTAAGGTGGTGTTCCCTCATCCAGACTGAGATGTCCAACAGGCAAGCAGGGATACGTGCAGAGACGAATGGATCGTCAGGCTGGAAGGACAAATAGAGCTGGGTATCATCAGCATAGCAATGATATGAGAAGCCATTAGACTCAATCACCTGCCCCAGAGATGTAGTCTAGATAGAAAAGAGCAGTGGACCCAGAACTGACCCCTGTGGAACGCCAGTTGTGAGTTGCTAAGTTTCAGAAATACCTCCCCTCCACGATACCATGAAGGATCTGTCTGAGAGACAGGATTCCTCTCTGCGCAGAACCGTTCTGGTGATGCCCAGTCTGGAGAGAGTTGACAGGAGGATCTGATGGTTCACAGTGTCGAAAGCAGCAGAGAGGTCGAGTAGGATGAAGGAAATATGGATATATGGAAAATGCTTTATTAAAAGTCATGTCAGACATGTTTTTATCATCTACTTTTGTGAATGCAAGACAGACTGTTCAAGCAGTGATTTTTGCTTGGACATCCATCTTACTATTGTCTTGAACAAAGTGGAGCAAAATGGATTACGGGCAATTCTATGTATAAAAAAAAATTCACAAGAAATTAAGAACACACCACATCCTGACCTCTGATTTTCTATTGGCTAATGCTCCTGATCTTCAGAAATTCACACACTTAACACAAATGAACACATGAAATGTGTTTAGATTAAATTATATGTAATATGTTTCGAGATTCTGCTCATAATTCAGGTGGTTGGTGTTATATTTTTGTAATTCCTGTGACAAGTTAATGGTTGTATGCTTTACGCGTCACCTTTGCCATATAACAATCACAGTTGTATTCGATTGGGGAAAGAAATCTCAAAGGGATAATGGTCAGTATGAGCAGGAGAGATCATAAAAGCTTGATTTTAAGCTCCATGAATGCAGTGCAGTCATGTAGTGCATTCGGTACATTTACATGAAACCAAATGAAATAATCCGGTAAATAGGAAAAAAAATGGTCCATGAAAATGCTTGAATCCGAGTAAATTAGAGTAAAAAATACCTTACAAGCTGTAACGGTATGTCCAGCAGAGGGCACTGTGGCTCGTCTTCGGACTAGCCACATGACATTGTTTTGGTTCACTCACTTCCGGGTTGAGTGTTAGCTTAACCACCGTGATCTATCACAGGTGTTTGTATTTTAAGTTAATGACACTTGTTATTTAAACGCCTGAGTTACTGAGCACGTGGCTTGTTATTATTAGTTGTATTAGTTGTTATGTTTGTAGTGGTCGTCTATGCTAAGAGGAGATTGTTCTATGCCATGTTTCATGTGTCCCGGTAAGGACCACGTTTACTTTGAGTTTAGGTTACGTTCAATAAAGACTTTGATCTGCACCTGTATCCGCCTCCAGTCTCCGTAACACACGTGTTATGATCCATAACACACCCATGATGAGTACGGTGGAATGTGATGACAGACGCTTTTGTTAGGAATATATACGTAATGGACATGTAAACGAATATTTGGACTGGACTGCAATATTTAGGGTTCATATAAACAGTACTTTTGGAATCTGTGATCGGATTGAATCCCAATCCAGAGACAAGATAATGAGAAAGACGGCGTTGATGAAAGTTGAAGCTGAGAACGTGAGAGCTCGACCGGCTAAAGGAATAAAGCACCACCGCATCGCTCTTTTTAGGTAGAGATGAAGCAAGGGCTGATTCCCACTGGTGCCACAATCAGCAGGTCGTCATATGGCATTGTGGGTAATATAGGAAACTATTAACCTACATTAAGTGAAAAGTGAAAAGTTCACATGGGTACTAGATGAAATCGATGTGGCAGCTTTTTCACCCTGCATCCTTTTTACAGGCAACTTTTATTTGCATTCTGTCTGGCCACCCAAATGTTGGGGGATTTTATTTGCTAATCTTCCATCCATTGTTACCTTTTTTTTTTTTTCCAGGATCCCCAGGCTGCATGCGATGTTCTTTTTGGCACAGCTTGTTTACAGAGCTGGAAGAACATCTTTAATTTCAGGAGGATAAACTGTCTTGCTGAGAACTACCCAGCAGGTAAAGCTCTCTAATAACATTCCTTATGGAGTCGGAGTTCATTTTCATCAAAGAAACAACTGATATTCATAAAGATAAAATTTTGAAAGACCGCAGGGAATATGTATGCCTATCTCAAAGATGAGTGTGACTCATCTTTCTCTATCCGCAAAATGACCGGGAGTTACCTCCTATTGTGCGGGACGATTTAAACCAGCGTGGGTATGAGCAGGCTTGCCCAGTGCAAGTCTATTCACTTCCTCTCGACTTGAATGTTTTCCAGTCACCTAAGCGTATCCAGGACTACCCCTCCGATTAGAATACAAATGACCACCCCCTTCCAGAGCTCTGTGATTGCCACGATGTCACACCTCCCTCTGCTCACTCATTTCTCCTCCATTGTGTTCAAGAGGAGACTGACATGGAGGTAAACATGGTCCCGGGCCTCTGAAATGCACGGCAGAGCTCCTGAGGGGAAGGCCTTCAAAAACTCCATGTGCACGTTTTTCTGGGAGAACAGGAGGAGACGTGTCCGGCACTGTTTAATTCTGTGGGGAACTTTGAAAGCGCAAGCAGCAGGAAGCTCTTTTGACATGACAAGACAAGGCACAGGATATAACCCACCACTAGGGTGAAGGAAAGTGGTGCAAAACAAAAGGTACCTCTTCATTGGGAGATGCAAAGCTTTCAAAGGCCTAAACCCCAAGAAAGAATTCGGTAATCAGTCATCTGCTGACATCGACTTCCTCGGTGAAGTTTGATGCAAGACGGATGAAATGTATGCACACACTGAGCAGCGAGATGCTAAAATACATTGTGTTCCCAAACAGATACACATTACTCCCTCTCTTAAAGGTGCATTAGTGAAGATTAGTCAAGACTGGAACTCTAGCAGTTGAGTAGGTGAAATACTATAACACTGGAATGATGAACCTGCCTCCATGTTCTACCCATGTACGTAAAGCAGGCTCCTAGAATCTATGGATTTCAGTTAAATTGCTGATGATGTAGGTCTGACCTTCGGTTCTACCCACTTGGCCATTCAACTGTCTGAAAGCCGAATTAGAACACTATGAACACATGAAATTTGATGCTGATTTGCGAGAATGGTCAAGAGTGTCTATTTAATTTTTTTTTTGTAATGGGCTCTCATGGGGTTTTTAGCCGATTGTCACTACTAGTGTTAGCAGCATAGGCGTTTGATACAGTTATCTACCATTACATACATTTCTAAGAAGGTAGCTCATCCGAAGCATTACCTTACCAGGTCTTCTAAACAATTCAATGCTTTATACAGATTGTGTTTAGATACAGTGCTGTGAAAAAGTATTTAATGATTTCTTCTGTTTTTGTGTATATCTCGTACTAAATATTTTAAGATCTTCAAATGAAATACAACATAAAACAAAGGCAACCTGAGTAAGCACACAATACAGTTTTTATTTATTTCATTTTTTCTTATTGAAGAAAAAAAAAAAAAGCAAGTTATTCAACACCTATCACCCAATCACACATGTGGAAAAACTAATTGCCCCATAAAATTTAAATCTGGTTGTGCCAACTTTAGCAGTAATAATTGCAACCAAACAATTATAACTGATAACTGGAGCTCAGTCTTTCACTTACTTCTAGCACTAGGATTTATTTCTATACCTTGAATCATTGTCTTGTTGCGTAATCTAGTTGCGCTTGAGTTTCAATTTACGGACTGAAGACGGGAAATTCTCCTTTAGGAGTTTCTGTTAGAGAGCAGAATTCATGTTTCGCTCAATTATTGCAAGTTGCCCAGGCTCTGAAGCAGCAAAGCATCCCCACACCATCACAACGCCAACACCATGCTGGCAGTAATCAGGCCTGGTTGTGTGTAGTCCAGCTGAACCCCATTATGAATGCAGTTTGGGGAATAGATTTGGAGTTTTAATAACTACAGGGGGAAAATACATTTTCACACAGGCCCAGTTGGTGTTGGATAACTTTTTTGCTTCAATAAATAACATTATCTTTAAAAAAAAAAAACTCTATTTTCTGTTTACTCGGGTTACCTTTGTTTTATCTTAGATTTTGTTTTAATTTCTGAAACAATTCAGTAAGAGATATACACAAACACAGAATCAGGATGGGGGATCATCATTTTTCATAGCACGGTACATGTCCAGGAGGAACGCCACAAATTTCAAGTCCAATTTCATCCCCTACACAACTAATAAATTTCTCTATCTTGGAAAAGCACTACCAATGTTGCCAATGTCCATATGCAGGATTGACAGACTGGCATGGGGCAGAGTAAATAAGCATTAGAGAGTGTCTATGAAAAGACTGACAGGAAGCCCATGAAAACACAGACAAGCAATCTGGACCAGACTGCAGCTTTCTTAACCAATATCATTGTGCTGAAGGCATTACTTAAATGATTCTTTTTCAAGTTGTACATATTTTCAAGGTTGTGGTAGTAAGAAAAAAAAAATAGACTATTGCAGCTTTTTGATATTGCATTCCCCAGTTGCCCAGTATGGGTCCTGCCAAATTGGCATACACCTACATCAAAGGTGTCCAGTGCTCTGTCTGATCAGATCCTGGACCCCTGACAGGTGAGTGAGACCTTTTTAAATATTTTATCTGTCTGCCCTTTTTTCCCTCCTGTTCAGCCAGCTGTACATGCTGCTAAAATGCTGCTCAGAAATAAGCTTAAATGAATAGCCCAACGAGTTCAGTAGTGGAGTGGTGGCTCAGTGGTTATGATGTTGGACTTCTGATCGAAAGGTTGTGAGCTCAAGTCCCTGCATCGCCAAGCTGCCACTGCTGGGACCTTGAGTAAGGCCCTTAACCCTCAGCTCCTTAGTTGTATATAAAAGAAGAGAGATAATTGTTTGCCAAATGCTGCAAATCTTCACTCAAGGATATAAGTTTTTAATTTTATTGATTTCATAGATGATTTTAACGTTTTAAGCAAAATTATTCAAACCCTATTGCAAATCAGGTTTATGGTCAAGATTTACAGACTTTCAGCTGTTTGCAATGAACAAATCAAACAAAAGCGATTGAAATAGTTCAACACAACGAATGTTTCAAGTGGGTTCCCCAAAAGGCCGATGATCTCTTCTCTTAACTTTTTGGACCATTCTTTTGACTTATTTCTAACAATATTTCTAACATGCAATCAAACTTGATACTCAACAAACCCCAAGCCAGTTCAGGTATTTCATGTGTTCCAGCTCAAGCACACCTGCTGCAACTAATGAAGTCCTTGATTAGTTCCATCACATGTGTTTGAGACAACACCTGTTTTGCATATATGTGCTATTGTGAGGGATTCTGTTCAGGGGGTTGAATCATTTTGAACTGGAGAAATCATTATACATTACATTTTCAGTTGAATTTGGGGAAACCACTTGGAGCATTCATTGTGTTGAACTATTTCAATTGATTTTGTTGGACTTGTTCATTGCAAACAGCTGAAAGTCTGTAAATCTCGACAATAAACCTGATTTGCACCGGATATGGAATCATTTTGATTACAACTGTAATTCAAATACATTTACAACTGTTAGAAAATACAGTTGAACCAAGTGAAGGGTTCCACATGCGATCTGCTCATTCGTATTAGCCTCTGCTATCCATGTGTGTGTGTGCCCATTCCAAAGAAAATGAAACCTATTATAATGTCATCGTGGCAGAAAGGTGTAGAAAGTTAAAAAAACAAAACAATAAATAAATAAACGTAGCACAAGGTAACTTCTTTTAAATCTTTTCCATCTTCTGACCTTGTCGTATTGCATTGCACAGGTTTCCATAGCAACCATTCCAAACCTACGATTGGTCCTAGAGACCTTAAATTCCAGGAGGAGACCTTAAATTCCAGGAGGTCCAAATAAATAAATAATAAATAAGTAAATAGTATGAATTAGCAATATAATAAAAACATTGAAGCATCATTCTGGGAAGCAGCACCATGAACTTTTTTGAGTATTGCAGTTAAGGGTAAGGTGTTGGTGCTTTCATAACTGCACAATATCAAGTAACTGATCTCACACGTCTCTGGGTAAATATTTACTTTTTTTTTGTCATTGTTAAATTTCACAAGCCGTTGTTGCTTCACAGCTCCAGGGTTTGGTTCAGAGCTCAAGTTATTGTTTATGTGTAGTTTTACACCTTCTCCCCATAGGTTCCCTCCAGTTTCTCCATTTTGCTCCCTCCTACCAAGAACATGCCAGTAGGTGAACTGAAAACACTAAATTGCCTCTAGAGTGTTTGTGTGTGTGTGTGTGTGTGTGCATGGTGGTGTCCCATCCAGCGTGTATTCCTGCCTCATTTCCAGTGTTCAGGATAAACTACATAAAATAAGATAAGATCAGAAAATCTATAGTTTCGTAAGATCCATTTTTCTTCATGGGGACCAATCAAATGTCCATACAAGACCAAAGCTGTCAGATAGTCCTGTCTCTGTGAGGACATTTGCTCTTCGAATATAAAAACATGCACACACAATCCACACACGTACACACCCGCTCACACACTCACCCTCACCGACATTATAGTAATTCTATATAATAATTAATAGTTATATGGCAATACTTTATGCCATATTGCCCAACAAGAGAGTCGGAACGATTCAATTCATATAACTGATTCAAATCATCTTATTTAATCGAAAGTTATTTTATTTCTTCCTTTATTTTTTGTCACACTGAGTCCTGGGTAAGAAGGCAGCACAACAGGACTAAAAAGACAGCAGGACATACTAAAAAGTAAACACACGGCAAGTAAACACTTTAAAACAGCAACAATACTGAAACGATTCACTTATGAATAGATTAACAAGGGGAAAAGTTAACAAAAGTATCAAAATGAATGTGGTTATAAGAATGAAGATTCTATGGCCTACTTCTTATGTCAAATTTTATGGGGAAAGTTTATATTTCGGCCCCCAACCTCCGTGGCTGTGAGAAAACATGAAAAATCAGTCCGGCTGATTCGCACTGCTGGGGATTTATACGATACTGGATTACTGGGAATTTTCCACTCAACACCATGGCCATAGTAAATATAACACACTCTGCATCACTATCATCTTCAACCCTTGTGACTTTTTAAAAAAAGAAAATCTCGCCTTACAGTATGTGGCGGTGATAAAGTTTTGACCCACGAAGAAGGTTTTGCGCTATATCACGTTGCAATGAATCTTAAAACTTCCCTCGGTGGTGTTCCTATAGAATCTATCTGCTTTCATTAGTATTCTTCAGACCAAACACTGCTCCCCATCTGGCCCCAAAGAGAAAGGTTAGCACTAAAGCAGACCGGCTTTCAAAAGTGGTCCAAAAAAAACAACAACAACAACAACCCTGATGTGAACTTCAGGAAGCCAGGCACTTTATATACCACACAGTGCATGGATTCAGTTTATTGACTCTTGAAGCGTCTGGCTTCTGAATGAAATACAGTTCCCTTCTACGTTTAGATTTTTCTGAGAAGCGTTGATCAGACAGCTGGCTAATGTAAGGTGTTGGTACTGCTATTGCTGTTTCACTTAATGTCAAGACAATAAAGTGGAGAAATGAAGCACTAGTGGTCGAGGTGAGAATTTCGCAGAAAGAGATAAGCATGAGCAGAGAGTCTGATGAGAAAACGACACTATCCACATGTAGCTCCTTCACACCGCTCACATGGGAACACTCAGTGTCTGTGCTTTCCCCCGACACCCCGTGAATAAAAACGAGGGGTTTTGGAGTGACGTGTTCACGCCACATTTGGTTCCCGCACTTCGATCTTTACCCCCCGTCGATGCTGTTGCATCTTGTGTTTGAGAGCCTCTTTTCCCACTCGCTGACGGAGACGGCTGGCTTAAGGGAAGTTGAGTGAGGGTTTGGAAAGACTTTAGTGTGCTGTGGGAATAATTTACACTCATGCCACACTTAATTCCTCTCAGTGCAGCCAAAGGCACTCAGCTAAGCTCAGTGTGAGAAAAAGCTAAATTTATTGAGACTTCCTTGAGATATGAGAAGTTACAGGGACAATGATGGGTGTAGGATTGTGTGTATATATATATATATATATATATATATATGGTATGGTATCTACAGCTAAATGGTCTGCATTTATATAGCGCTTTACATTGTGTCTCATTCACCCATTCACACACACACACCAATGGTAGAAGAGCTGCCATGCAAGGCGCTAACTTGCCATTGGGAGCAACTTGGGGTTCAGTTTCTTGTCCAAGGACACTTCAGCATGTGGAGTCATGTGGGCCGGGAATCGAACCGCCAACCCTACGATTAGTGGACAACCCGCTCTACCACCTGAGACACAGCCGACCGCTACGTAAAGAGATTTGCAGAATCTGAACCAAAACTGACAGTTTCTGTTGGGATTGTTTCACACTGCACATATGTAAATACACCCAAAAGCAGAATAAAACATGTTGCTCAGCAATACGTAAAGGTAAACAAACCATTTCCAAGTGTGTTTAGAAATCGCAAAAATCGCCTGAGCACTGAGAAATGGGGCTGGCGCTAAATAATTGATTAGATAATTATAGAAATAAACAGAGTGTATCTGTCTCTTATTGTTTGTCCGGTTAAATATCCAGAACACGCAGACTCCCAACAGAAAAGTGTTCACGCTATCATCTTGGAGTACGCAAGCTTGAATCCCAATGATGCCACAGCCGTCCGTGGCCGGGAGCCCAAATCAATCAAATCAAAAGAAAAACAAGTTCAAGAACTTGTGGCATTTCTGCAGAGCTACAGCTAGATCAAAATAACCAGCAATCAAAAATAACCTCATGTTTGGTCCACTTCCTGTAGTTGGGTTGATTCAGGGTCAAATCGCTTTCTCTCTGCAATTGAACAACACTAGAGTTCATATGGAACCAGACTGGGACCTGTTTACACTAGTGCATGTTCATTGTAAAACACATAACTTTAGCTACGGTTACGCCTGTCGTCTTCACTACTCCAGTGTTTTTAATCCACGAAAGAGGAGACTTTTGGAAACGCCAAAGACCCCGTTTTAGTTTGAAAACTCCAGGCTTGCGTTTCAGTGTAAACAGACCAAAATGAACGAAGGCATGGCTGCTCACATTTGCTCCCTTATTGGGTCTTCTGGGTCATTGCGTGTTCCGTCAAGCCCCTACCATATGACCATTACGCTACCTTGATCGTATACACAACAACACGGAGACTGAACCGCAAAGCTTTGCTAGCTTTGTTGTCATTCTTAGCAGCCATTGAGAAGTTAAATTCTGTATTTTATAATACTGCAGCTGCCTACACGTGCAAGAGGCGAGCTATGATTAAAGAAATCGGCAACAAATCTCATTTCAAGCGGCGTAAGCCCTACACGGAACGCCGGTGACTAGCAACCGACTTCCTGTTTACACTTGTACGCGCATGCCCAGTGTGCATGAATGGGCATGTGACATGCGTATTCGGTCGTGTAGTGTGGACGGAGATCGTTTCTGAAACCCAGCAGAAACCCAGCAGTATGGACGAGGATTGTATGGACTAGTGTAGACAACTGGATTAAACGCTGCACATATAAAAGAGCGTAGGTCTCACACTCCCAGGTTATTTTCATCTTGTTACATGAATCTGCTAATAAATGACTGACCTCGACCACACCATCTCAACTGCCTCAGAGCCTGGGTCCATCGACTTCACACATCACACGAAGAGCATCGGTTATAAGGCGAAGAAGTTAAGGAGACAATAATACAAATATCAAAGGTTAAGAGAGACATGAAGGCAACCTGCGTTGCTAATTTGAGAACTTCACTTTGTCAAGGGA